TGGCTCGTGAATACCCTGACTCAGGAGCTGGAGGTGGGTACCCTGCAGACTCCCAGGCCATGGAAGGGCATGGGCTATTGGGAAGCCCAGGGAAGATGTATTAGGCTGGTCTTCATGCTTGGTGGTATCTGAGACCCAATGTCATAAATGTTTCCTTACACGGCTGGACACACAGTAGGGACCTCTAACGTACCTCAGGTTCTCTGAAATACAAGGTTTGGGACCAAGATTGTGGAGGGGAAATGCATGTGTATCACTTGTGAGGGTTAGAGGGCCAGCAAAGCCGTGCCACAGGGCCCTTTCTTCCCAGTGTAATATGGGTGGTGATGTCAGAGGCAGGGCTTGAACTACATGGCTGAAGGCGGGTCTCTGTCGGGCCAAGGTCCTGATTTTCAACATATGGAGCAGACTCTCATCTCAGGCAACTGGGATTTTTATCTGGGGGACCAACCAGAGTCAGCAATATGATTGGTTGAGCCCATGGAGTTTCAGAGATGTAATGTTATGGGCTGCTAGCTTTATTATGCAGACCTGGCAGACCTAGGGACACGGGGGGACTACTGGGTTTGGAGTGGGTTGTCACAGAGTTGATTTGGTTTATTTGTGTTAAGACAGTGTCAGACATCTGGCACCATAGGCTGGAAATGCAGTGGGTCAATCAATGGCATCAACGGGCCAGCTCGATTGCTCTCAGGTAAGGAGTAATCCTACCAAACTAGCCTCTGAGTAGCATGAGCACAGGCAAGTCACCGACCACCTGGCACCCCCTAGTTTTTTTTTAAAAATTATTGAAGGAAATGGATCCGGTTCATATGCTACCACAGGGCTGGTCTTTGAACTCCTGGGGCTCAAGACCTCCACAAGTACGTGATATAGGTGTTGGAGCTACATGCTCAGCAGTCATCAAGAGGTGTTTTTTGTTGGTTTTGTTGTTGGAATTTTCACTTCTGTCGCCCAGGCGGAGTCCAGTGGCCGGGAGCTCAGCCTACTGCAAGCTATCCGCCTCGCGGGTTTACGCCATTTTTCTGGCCTGCAGCTCAGAAGGTAGCTGGACTAGAGCACCCGCCACCATCGGCCCGGCTAATTTTGTATTTTTTAAGTAGAGACAGGGTTTCACCAGTGTTAGCCAAGGATAGGTCTCGATCTTCCCGACTCAGTGATCCGCCTCGTTCGCTCCAAAGTGCAATGGGGATTACCAGTTGGAGCCACCGCGGCCCGGCCACACAGGGTTTATACCTGGTTATACACGTTGTTTCCTCACCCCGCCTCACCCCTCACCCTTCACCCCTCACCCCTCATCTCTCACATCACCCCTCACCCCACCTCACGCCACCTCACCCGTCACCCTTATCCCGCCTCACCCCTCACGCCGCCTCATTCCTCCCCCCCTCCCCTCACTGCACACCCCATACCGCACTCTCCTCACCTCACATGCCTCGCCTCAGTCCTTCAGCCCCTTACAACTCCTCTCCATCTCCTCACACGGTACACTCCCGATCCTGAAGTCTACACACTCTGGGCTTCCCGTTCCATGCAACCTGCCCCTCTTACCCTGACACCTGCCACACCTGGGACCCCAGAGTCCACACACCACCTCACACCCCAAGTTCCCACCCGCACCTCTGGCTTCCTCCCACCTGCGCTTCAGGACCGGCCCAGACTCTTCATAGCCCCAACTCCAAGACTTCCCTCCGCACATCCCAGGCACATTCCCTTCCTATGCTGCTGTCATCCCGTATAGAGGAGAATCAAGGGCCTTTGGCGACAGAGACCCTGCCTTCAGCAGGTAGTTCTCAAGCTGCCTTGAGCATCAACACCATAAGTACATGGGGAGAGAAAGGGCCACTTGTGGGAGGCTTTGATGGCCTCAACCTCAAAGTGATACACAGCATTTCCCTCCACACTCTTGGCCAAGACTTGTATTTCAAGAGAACCTGAGAAGTAGAGTCTAGCTGTGTGTCCAGGGTGTAAGGGAAACATTTAGTGACAGTTGGTCTCAGATACACAAGGGCATGGAGGGACGGAGGAGTGTGGGGCGGCTGAGGAGCCGTGGGACGGGTGAGAGTTGTGTGGGCGGAAGTGTGCTGGGGCGGGAGGATGTTCGGCGGAGGAGTGGGGGGGAGGAGTGTGTGGGGGCGGGAAGGAGATGTGTGGGGGCCGGGAG